AAATTATAATACATTACAACTATAGACGCAATATTACTAATATTATAAATGCAAAATTATACATGGATGGATGTTGGTTATAATTCGTATTATTATTACTCGATTAACTTTGATATAGCTATAGAGAATAATCTGGAAGAACACAGGCTACTTTTTTAACTCCACGCGGACATAGTCGCGGGCGAAAGCTTTTATTTTGTAAAATAAATAAATGCAAAATCGTTCTATAAAGCTGAAAAAGTTACTCGTGCAAAAGATTACCGTAATCTCATAACATGAAGGTTCAAAATACAACATAATTGACATTTAAGTCGTCGAGATTACTTCCAACTTTGAGAATAATTTTCACTTCAAGCATCAAAGTACTCAGGCGAATGCTTCATTCTTTGCTACAAGCTTAGTACTTCAGTTAGACCTTTTATAGTGCTTGAAAAAGTTACTCGTATAAATGTAGCAGTTAAAATACTCTACAGTGGTAATGTACAATCAGGGAAACTGGCGGTGTTCCATCTTAAAAGCCACAATCATTTCAACATTCAGAATTTTAACTTGGAACAACATCATCACCAGGTTCTATACGTTCCCACCGAGGGGCTCGGAGCCTATTATAAGTATGACTAGACCATAGTCCACCACGCTGGCCTACTACTAGTTGACTTCACACATATCTTTGAATTTCTTCGCTGATATCTGCAGGCATCACGATGTTTTCCTTCATCATAAGAACATCGTATAAATTATGTACATATGAAATTGGGAACTCAAGACCTGTAGAAATCCAGTGCTTAAACCCCTGAGTCAACGACGGTCTTGTCTTGAAACTGTTATCGCAATAATTTAATTAAAACGAATTATGTAAGAAGAAATCATGTCTGCATAGAGATTGTGAATAAATGCTCATCCAAATAACAAAGGGGAATGCACAAATATTTTCGCCGACTGAGAATCGATCCGCACGACGCCGGTTAGTCTGGCAACTCAACACGCAGTAATATATACTAATATTACAAAGAGGAAAAATTCGTATTTTTGTATCAAAATAACTCAAAAACTAATGGACCGATTTCAATTTTTTTTCACCATTAGAAAGGTACGTTATCGCTAAGTAACATAGGTCATAATTAACTTTTTTAGGATAGTTTATTTTAATTCTCAAGTAGATAAATTTATTACTTTAGCTTATGCCTGCGACTTCATCTGTGCAGAATATAAAAAACTTTATATGCGTCGATGCGTTTTTCAGCCTATGTTCTGTACCTCTGCTCAATGTCGACATACTTAATCCATCCAATTCCATCCATTTATCCAAACTACTCATATTAAGCACAAATGTAAGATAAGCCTATCATCTGTGTAAATAAAAGATTAATTTATGTGACAGAAGCCTTATTTTTCTTTTACTTTTCTAGGTATTTTTGAGGCATTTATTGCCTTTAGAAATCACTAGCATTTAGTTCGCGACTCCGCGTGGAATTAAAAAAAAAAACTGAGTAGCCTATGTGTTCTTCCAGACTATCTTCTACATCTATGCCAAATTTCATTGAAATCCGTTCAGCCGTTTAGGCTACAAACTCTAACAAACATCCATCCATCCATCTAAACATTCGCATTTATTATATTAGTATGAAGTATGATTTACGATAAAAATATGTTAGGTAGAATCAACCTCAGCTATTTTTCCGCAATTTTATTTAATCCTTCAAAGATATAAAAAAACAGAATTTAAACGAGGTATTTATATCTATTTCGGATTACATCACAATACTCAGTTACACTCTCACTTGGATATGTCAATTCTCATCTTGAATTCTCGAATTTAACAGTAAAATCGGATCAATATAAGCAATATGCTTCGCTATCTCTTTCTCTCCTGTTTGAGGGCACGAAACAAAAGATACAAATCAATTCTACCAATATCGTTGCAAGTGCGGGTTTGTTTGTGCACGGATGCTCGGAGGCTTATGCAAGCTACACACGTTAGGACTTACATGAAGGTGACCTTACATGCCGGCAAACCTTAGCATGTGTACAACAAAATACAATTTTTTAATACAATACTCGTCTATCTATTTACTTCTACATACTTTATACTACACTAATATAATAAAGCGTAAACACACACTACTTCGTGGCGTAGGAACCAAAGACTGTTTATAAATTCCTTCCTTAAAAAACCCTACACTTACCACACCATTTAGGCTACATATATTCACGCTATTAAACTTAAAGGTAAATAAATTGGAAGAAAACCTTCATGTGGGAAAGGGACCATATACTACAAGCTGCCAACATCAAGGAAGCAAGATTGCCATGGTACAGTAATTGGTATCCCATGTCAAAGGTCTTCGTTTGTGCATTTGCAATTGAGAATATGACAAATGAACGAGATGAGATGAGGCGATAGACGAGAAAAGCTAGTATCTAATGTTAGCTTTTTAACTATTTTGATGTATTCTGAATTCTTGAAGGTTATTTAGTCTGTGCTATAAATCAATACCATTTGTCATAATTTGAAATAACGATATAAGCTTTGTAATTGTGATCCAAAACATTATTCAAAATATTTATGTCATGGATTTAAAATGTCGTAATTGTGCTTGTTAATAATCGGATAGTAGTCGGATGTCAAAAATAAGGGCATTAGCTCGACGAAACGACGGCCATATTGGTAAGGTTATTTTGTGCAAATTGGAAGAAAACATAAGAGGTTATGAAGACTATATTTTATTAAAGCATAACATGGCTGTGGCGCCCATACTAATAAGCTGATAACCGTTATGGAGGACCTAATGTGTGTAGCATACATTACATAACAAGATATGATTGTCTATTGTATTGTTAAGGTGAGATTACATTGGAGAAAGCTTTTCTATTTGTTTCAGCTAGTATTTAGTTAGATAAATCAATAAACCAATTAACAGTACGTCTGATACTTTAAATAAATACGAATCAAAGACTAATTAGAGGAACATAATAGTTGCAAGCGACTTCGTCCGCGTATAAAAATAGTTTTACTATAACTATAGCCTTTGTTTTGTTATTCAGTAATTATGTAGCTTTCTAGTAACAACTAAACTTCCTTTATCAATAAAGTAGTTTTTGAATTTACTGGTTACAAAAACACACAACTTCAAAACGATTTTGCTTACAGGTCGAATATAAATTCAAATTTGAACAATTCTTCTTAAAAGTCTTATTTCGCTTGTAATAACATCGCAAATTCAGAAAATAAACATTATAGAATACGTGTCGATTATTATAAGTACATATTTGTCATATAAACAAATATAAAAATTATCTAGAATGTACGTCAGTGTAACCGCCGCCTTTATTTACTCAGTCAAGCACACATCGTAGGTTTCCACTATGTTACACTTGTATAAAAGTTACTAGCTTTCGCCCTCGACTTTGCCGCTTGAAATTAAAAAGAAAACCGAAAGCAAGTAGCCTATGTGTTCATCCAGACTATCCTCTACACCTTAACCAAATTTCATTGAAATCCGTTTCGTCGTTTAAGCTACTAACTCTAACAAACATTCATCCATCCATCCAAACTTTCGCATTTATAATATTAGTAAATATAATACATATAACAAAATTGGAGTGTTTGTTTGTAATACCGAAAGAAAAATTCCAGATTTCGGGATGATGATGCGTTACCGTTAATTTTTTTTTCTGTCTGTCTGTCCACAAGCCGCGTTTGTACGTAGGGTAGCCGTCATAGACTTATTGTTGACTATTTTCTTATCTTAATATTGCGTGGACGAAGTCGCGGGCAACGGCTAGTATTAAGTATAGTATGAAAGTATGAAGTATGATGGTCATATCATAGGCTATCAACATGTTTAGGCAGTGGAAACTCATAGTTATAATTTGTCATACTAATGATATTTCTTTAAACACATTGACAAATGTTTCATTGTGTTACAATACAATGTAAATATTCTGTTCTTTAATATATTTGTAATTCACAGTTTTATGATAAGTATTTGCTTGACTGGCATGAAATTTTTTTATTATTATATTAATGCTAACTCTTGCCCATGACAACTACCATGTGAAAATGAAAAAAAACATTACTAATGTTCAAACAAACATCCAACCAAATTTTTTTATCTTACTAAATAATACGGTAAACTAGCTTTTGCCCGCAACTTGTGTGTAAATAAAAAAACAAAAGTGAGTACACAATGTATTCTTCCACAATATTCTCTACATCTCTCCCAAAATTTATGGAAATCCATTCAGCCGTTTAGGCTACAAACTCTAATAAAAATCCATCCAAACTTTCATATTTATAATATAAGTATGAAATATAACCAATACAAACATTAACTAGAATATTTCCTTAATATTCTTATCAAAGGTAATTTGACATGTGCATAGCTAATTGGGTGTCAAGAATTATAATTACCTGATAACACATACTTAAGTTAATTGGAATCTTACTTGATAAACATAGGGAAGTGATGACTGAGATGATGTATGATAGAGTTATTTGGAGGACAAAAATCTGTTGTACCGACCCTATGGGAGAAAGACAAGGAGAATGATGATGCTACTTGATAAAAAAGAAGTTTTTGACCATCATATTATTGCCTAGAGACACCAATCAACCTGAATCTTTTTATAAATATTAAAAAAAACTTATTGTAATAGAAAAGTAACTAAAAAACTCTTCATTGATTCTTAGTAGGAGTTATATTAACAAAGTTGTTTACTTTCTTGATTTTAGAATGTTATAAAAAAACTTAAATTTTTACAACAAAAGCTATTGAATGAAATATAAAAAGTGTGGACTAAAACGCAACTTTATAATCTATATTTATCTAATCAAAAACTATGTTATTATCTCAGGAGATTTAAATGTGTTACAATATTTATCAATGACTACTTTGTTCGAGTGAATTTATTATTAAAATACACATACGATAGTATCAGTCAAATAATTGCATAAAATATACAGAAAAAATTTACGAGCGAAAATATTTTTTACTCACTTCTGACAGTAATGGGGCTCTATCCAGATGTTCTGTTGACGCAAATGCAGATTCAAAATAAGACCCCCGACTCCTAGATTCATACCGGGTCCCTTCATCTTCCCACATCCTCGCTTCTGGTTCATCAGACATTCTGCCGCCTACGTATCGCAAAAACAACTATGCGTATATTTACTATTGTTGGCACATTTCCCAATATTCCCAGAAAATTGACACAACCAGACACTACAAATCACGAAAGAATTATAATTGACAATAATTCATCACGAATTTCTTTTTTTAATTCATAATTTCGCAACAAATACACAACATCATCACACAAGATCCGACAACAAATAAAAATTTTACTCAGTGAAGGAAAAGTCAAAGCAAAAAGATATGTCAAAGAGAATCGTTCTGAAATTGGAATGTAGTTTTCAATTTCAGTTTCTTTCTCAATGGAATCTTCTCCTTTAGTATATTTCTACTTCATAGTATAGGACTTTTTAGCGTTCGTAGTTGAGTGTTTTTTAATTCAAATTCATTTGATTTCATTTAAAAACGCATAAAATAACTTTTCTGTAATATAGAATAAATGTATTAGAACGAAAAAGCTGTCACCAAGCCATTTGTTACACACTTCAGACTCTAGGGCAAACTTTTAGCGGGAATTTAAAATCATAATCAGTTTTCTCACCTTTTTCTTCTCGTTATAACACTTGGAGAGAATTTTCGGCACTACAAGAAAAGTGGATATTAAATGAGTATTGTAGGTAATAAACAATGTATAAAAATATGAACTGTTAATCAGACGAAGTCATACACTTGATATTTTTTTTTATTACCACACTCCATACTGCCGAAACGGGTTGGTTGATGAGTTTTTTTTTAACACGATTGCAGTGTAACCATATTATAATAAAACAATAATAAATAGGATCGAAACTTTATTTTATTAATTTTACATAAAATAACACACGATTGAATCTTACACAATCACAAGCCAACACCCACAGTAATAAATATTTTATCGGATGGAACTGTGCTGTAAAAAGTTATCTAAACTTGTCTATAAAATATAGCTGAAAACATTATAATTATAGTAACATTTACATTGGAATCGCAAGCTTTGTTTATATCTACATTAATTAGTGCAAGTTATAAAGTTGTGGTGACATTGTCTAAAAAAATAAACAATTTTGTTCTTACGGTGCAGGAAAACATTGTTATACAACCTGCACATATCAGCAAAGAAATTCAAAGATGCGTGAAGTCAACCCGCAGTGCAGCATGGTTGACTATGGCCTAGTCCCCCTTATTATAGAAGGCTCCGAACCCCTCGGTTCGGACATATAGTGATCTGGTGATGATGATGATTGAATAATTTTGTTATCAATAGCAAACATTAACATGTTATAAACTAAAATGAATAATACATTTTTAAATATTCTTTACTTGTATATAAACATAGAATAGTTTTAAAAATGTCGGGACATTGTAAATGTGATGTCACTTTGGTGTTGCTATTATTATTACCGAAACTTTTTTTAAACAAACAATATAATTATAATGGTCCCTATCATAACATGCTGATTTTAACTTTTTAAAAACTTAATTATATGTCAAATCATCCATCAAAGAAAATCATTAAAAATATATAAGCGATAGGAAAATAAAAACAAAAATATTCTAGGATACATTATATTTCTTATATTTTATAGTTAATATTAAAAAAGATAATTATATGTTACCACTGAGGTAAAAAATATCAGCTCGTCCGTTGTTCTATACCAATGTGCCCAAGAATTACACAAATCTTATAAAAAAAACCTTATAAAATCTATGTATACAATTTTAATAAAACATTTAAATGAAGGAATAAACCTTTGCAGAAGTGAAAAAATTGCATTACGTAAATATCAAGAAAATTGTGTTTATTCTTTAAATTTAACTTTCTAGAACATTCTAGCAATATAATAGATATTGAATTTAAAGTAATTATGCATCAAAACAATTAAGAAATTTAATTAATATCATTACAACAGATAATAATAGAAAAATTTATCTTCTATATTGGAATAGGACAATTTTGTAACACTAAAAGGTCAAGAAAAAGAAAAAATCGTATATATTCAGTTTAGTAGTTTTAGGGCCTGTCCCAAAAAACTGTCAATTGTCTGATTACAATCCAACATGTAAAATATGTTATAGAAATAACGGATTTTTTTTTATCCGACTGACGTCATTTTTAAACTATCTGAGCCTCTATCAGACAGTGATGGGACAGACCCTTAGAGTTCATAGCTGATTCAAAAACTACTGAACAAAACAGAAAACCAACTAAAGCATACACCGATATATTTTCATAAGTTAACATTTATAGAAGTAAGAATAAAAGAAACCCTATTCCAAAAGCAATAAGATTCTAATGTGTTCACATATCTCACGTTTTTTGGAATGATTTATATAATTTTAAAGCAAATAAAAACATGTTAGTCAATTAAATTTAGATTTAGTGGAAATGCACATTAAATTAATTAAAAACAAACATAACTTCATACATGACATTTTAAATGCACATATTTCGTCGCTCAATTTGGGTAAGAATTTGCTGTAAAACTTAGTACTTATTTCCTATAATAAGAGTTAATATCAAACAAATAATAATTGAATTTTTATAGTAATTCGCTTACTTGAAAGCAATTAAATGGATGAATTTAACACAGAATGGATGCATGCATGCATTTAACATTTTTTCACATTAAAATAGTTAAAAATACAAAAAAAACATCTGCTAAATGGCTGTAAAATTTACTAAAAATTATATATATTAAGTGTTAATCGAATAAAATGGTATAAGCATGTTGAGTGCAAAATAAAACCTCTTTGGCTGACAAGCAGTATGTATACAGCCAAAGAGGTTGCATACTGGCCACCAAGGCATTTATCATTGGTTAAAGAAAATATATTGAAAAAGAAGAATAAGATGTGATCCAGATAGTTTTGAGTTTTTTTGAATATATTTGTGTAAATAAGTTTTGAATAAAGATGTGTTAGTTTGATAAAAAGTGTTTTGTATTTTTGGCTGCCGGTAACAAGTTAAACAAATATAAATTTTCTACAGAATGTTTCAATATTGTATATTAAAAATTACATGGTCCTTCGGGAGCCGGATATTTTTGAAGAAATTATTAGAAAATTTCGTTTGTTAAAACACAGGCAATATACTTATTTTGTACTAAAATCGACATGGAACCTTTGAAATTGTCAAATCCATTTACAAAAGAAAAAAAATCAACGTTCTTTCGAATACGTATTTATTCGTCATATTTGCTAAGTAATTTGAAATTATTTTTAACAATAGCATTGACTTATTTCGTAAAAATCGATTTGACAACAGCTTTCATTTATCGATATCGTTAATCGATATGTAAAGCGATTTATTAAAAAGTTAAAATTACCTAAATTCACTATTACCGAGATATTTTAAAACTTACAGCATACTTAATAATAACAGCGAGCGATCACACCAATACATAGGAAAAAGGAGGGAGTAAAAATTGTATACGCTTGAATTGGCACATGAGATACAAGAGTGCTCTTGTAAATCACGTGCCAACTTAAATTGTACAATTCAGATACTTTTTGGGGTTGAGTCTGGAGAGTTGTTTTAGTCTATGTGGAGTAGTTTGGTCTATAGTCTAGATTCTAGACGATGAGGACGAGCCGATCATTTATCATAAGGAGGGCGGGGGGCCGCGGGGGCCCGCAATGGCCAGCCCCCCGCCGTCAAGCCGGGGCCACTCCACGAACTCCTTGCCGTGTCTGAAATTGTGCTAACAATATGTTATTGCACTTATGGATGGATGGATGGATGTTTGTTAGAGTTTGTAGCCTAAACGGCTGAACGGATTTCGATATAATTTTGTATAGTAAATAATAAGGGAATCCATTCGTGTAGAATTCTTAAGTATTCAACAGTTCAATATTTCTTTAGCTTAGATCTTAGCAAAAATTATGGATTGTTCAAAAGATCTCAAGTTTCCAAAATTTCAATTCTTCAATTATAATAGTATTTCTATAAAGTTTACAAAGTCTTAGTAATTCGATTTTCTATAGAATATCTGTGTAATTGACGGCAAATTGTCATTATAAAGAGGAAAGATTTGTATTTATGTATGTATTGAAATAACTCAAAAACTACTGGGTCGAATTCAAAAATGCCTTCACCATTAAAAAGTCACGTTATCAGTGGCATTGGCTTTGTTTTTTTAATATTTTTTTTTAATTTGACGCGGGTGAAGTCACGTTCAACAGCAGTTAGCAAATAAACCAAAATAAATCCATCCTTCGAAGGACCAACATTCAAATTACTTAAATACGTGACTTTTAAAAAGCGTAGGTGAGAAAGAGATAGCTATATCTGTATACCTGAATATGAAAGAGACGGTAGCTCCGATAGCCGCGCCCCAGAACATGAGGTATAGCAACACTTCGTTAGTATATCTCTGCGGCAGCGCCGCGCTCGCGCAGAACATCGACACCGCCACCAGCAACACTGACGGGAACTGAAAAACAAGGAAAATATATTAATAATAGCTTTCGCCCGCGACTCCGTCCGCGTGGTATTAAAAAAAGAGTAAGTAGCCTATGTGTTCTTCCAGACTAACCTCAACATGTTTGCTAAATTTAATTGAAATCCGTTCAGCAGTTTAGGCTACAAACTCTAACAAACATCCATCCATCTAAACTTTCGCATTTATAATCATATTTCATACTAATATCTTAGAGTTTGTAGCCCAAACTACGTAACGAATCTCGATGAAAATTGTAATCGATGTAGAGAATAGTCTGGAAGAACATATAGGCTACTCCCTTTTGTTTTTTTTTTCCACGAGAACAGAATCGCCGGCAAAAGCTACTCATACTAATCATACTAATACTAATATTATAAATACGTAAGTTTAGATGGATGGATGTTTGTTAGAGTTTGTAGCCTAAACAGCTGAATGGATTTCGATGACATTTGGTTTAGATGTAGAGGATATTCTGGAAGAACACATAGGCTTTTGATTTTTTTTAAAGCCACGCGGACAGAGTCGCGGGCAAAGGTAGTTTACTATAAATTACAAAATCTATACTTATATAATAAAGCATACACACTATTTCATGGCCTAAGATGTCAATCATAGCACATTATAGAATAATTCTTAAACAACACAAACAGTCTTAAAATTAGTCTCCTTAATTAGTTAGTTTATTTTTAACTGGCTGTTCCCGTGCCACTTCATCCGCATGTGTTTATAAACATTTTATTTTATTGTTTACATTTGTCAAATTATCAATTACAAATGTCAAAATGACATGACATGATGAAAACTTTGTTTCCTTGATGTTGGCAGAAACTTATGGACTGTTTTCCACATTAGGGTTTTTATCCAAAATATTTACCCCCTAGGTTTAATGGCGTTAAAATATAGAGCCTAAGCGTGAAGTAAGTTTAGGGCTTTTTATTAAAAAAAGAATTATTTAAAAATATGGTGTAATTGCTGACATCTTAGGCAACAAAGAAGTGAGTGTTTACGCTTTATTATAATAGTAAAGAAGTATAGATTCCGTGAGGCCTTAAGTCGTGGGCAAAAGTTAATAATTAAATACTCACAGTGACATATTTCCAGTCTCTGTCCCGTCGTAGAGGACATAACGCGGTGTTGCCCTCGCCTTCACTCACTGTGTACTTGCCGAGGATTAAGTCAATTGAATCCTGCAAATTAACAATTATGGTCATACACATAAAGTTGATTTTCAATTACAAAGACAAGAAATTAATTCGAAAAATGTTTCATCCCTATCAATAAATAAAAAAAAAATACAATTATTTTATTGACATTGAGTTAAAATCTATCAATAAATAACGTTAGTAAGATAATGTGAAAAATTCAAATGAAATATCAACGTCTCCTCTATATTTCTTAAATCTCTACAGCTGAAGTCAATAAACAGTAAATTACCTGTCTAAATCCATCACTGAAATTATTCTTATAATATCTTGTGAGAGAGTTAACTCCATCTCGCAGCGCGCCCATGCGTGTGCGCTTGCCAGTACGAGTGAAGTCAGTCTTCAGCGCACCAGTACCGGAATACTGGCATGAGATCATATCCGCATGGTCTGCCCATATCTGAAAAAATGTTATAAAAGTAGAAATAAATCTTTAAAACTTAGGAACTATAGCTTAGTATACATTTATTACAACTTTAAAAGGCATAAACTTAAGCTATCATACTAATATTATAAATGCGAAAGTTTGGATGGATGTTTGTTAGAGTTTGTAGCCTAAACAACTCAACGAATCTTTATGAAATTTGGCATACATGTAGACCATAGTCTGGAAGAACACAAAGGCTACCTATTTTAGTTAATTTTAATTCCACGCAGACGGAGTTGCGGGCCAAAACTAGTGTGTGAATAAATAGTTGAAAATAAGGGTGTTTTTAATTTTGACTTAAAGCATCAATTATAAATTTAATACTATTACAATTGTTTGCTTTTAATAGGCTTCAAAAGTAATGAACAGATATAAAAAAATTCCTTCTCAATAATGTGGAAGAACACATAGGGTACTTACATTTGTCAAATTATCAATAGCAAATGTCAAAATGAGATGACATGACAAACCTTGGCAATCTTTCTTTCTTGATGTTGGCAGCAACTTATGGTTTCTTTCCCACATTAGGGTTTTTATCCAAAATATTTACACCCTTAGTTGAATGGCATGAAAATTTATAGCCTAAAGCGTGTCGTAAGTGTAGGGCTATTGTTTAAAAAAAGAATTATTCAAAAATATGGTGTAATTGCTGACATCTTAGGTAACAAAGAAGTGTGTGTTTACGCTTTATTATAATAGTATATAGAAGTATAGATAACACTTACCGTATTAAACAATCTATCCAAATGTGGATGGTGGTTATCAGTTGTGACAGCGAGCAGTCTGAGCGCCGCCTCCATCTGTCTGCGAGCCAGTAGCGACTGCACCACATTAGTGCGGTCGAGGCAGTCCACGCAGTTGGTACGGAACACGCCAGTCTGACGCAACAGTACTGTACCGCCGCGGGACAGGAAATAACCGAACTCCGTCTTGAATAACAGAATAAGTTTAAGTTTAGGCTAAGCAAAAAGCAAAAAAGACCCATTCGCCATGCGATTTTTGAATTCGCGAATTGGAATTTGTTGATGCTTGAAAGGTGTAGCTTCCCCCCCTATTGCAAAGCGAAAATTGTCAAGTAAATATACAAATAAATAAAAATAATTCAAAATTCCCTCCAATTCAAAAAAAATATTATTAATTTTTCATTAAAGCATTATCTTTGATATAAAAAAAAAAATTTACTAATCACCCCCTTAATTATGCCCCCCTTTCTTATCAACTTCCCCTTAATTCATAGTCTTGTAACATCTATTTATTGAACTATACCTGTTCATGTGCGATCCTATCCATAAGCACGGTGAGCCTGTCATACCGCATGCCGCGACATTCAGCGTGGAAATCAAAAGGCTCGTATCTGACGCCGGGCAGCGCGGCAGACGCCACCGCCGCACGGTACCCGCGCTCTAGAGACTCCTCCTTACCGTGCTGGTCTATCTGATATGGAACGTAGGGAGCATTATTCAGTCCGAATGGCAAATGCCAAGTCAATATTTTTGTTATTTCAAGTTTAAAGTTTTATCGTCTATCGAGAATAATCAATACGTTTTCGCTATAGAAGCGTAATAAATTAATAACCAAACAATATTAATGAAAACATAACATATGTAGTATTTCATTGTTTCTGGAATATAGCTTTCAACCATCTCACACTCCTATGTTCCAACAATCCAACCTTCTAAAATTCCAATGTTTCAACAATCTAACCTCGTAACATTCCAATCTTTCAACAATCCAACCTCGTAACATCCCAATCTTTCAACAATCCAACCTCGTAACATTCCAATCTTTCAACAATCCAACCTCGTAATATACCAATCTTTCAACAATCCAGCCTCGTAACTTTCCAATCTTCCAACAATCCAACCATTTGACATTCCAAGTACGTTCCCAAAGTAGTCTACGAGTTCTTCCAGACTATCCTCTACATCTATGAAATTTTGAATAACTCTAATAAACATCCATCCATCTAAACTTTCGCATTTATATTGTATCAAATATTTACATTTATCAATAACTTACCAAATTAACCAGCACCTGATTCCCGTACCGCTGTATTTGATCTCTCATATGTCTGGTATACGCAGCCACGTGGTCTTCCGCAGACAGTACCATCGCTGGCTTGTACTTTAAATCAGGATATTGCGACCAGAACAACGGAATAGACCCGCGGGTTTGGACGAAAGAGGACTTCTCACCGCCACGTTCTATTATCTGTTCAGTTTCTACGAAGTTTGCCACATTACCCTGTAAAGGATTACATTGGTTTATCTACCTACTTCTACATATATCTCATTTCAATAGCGTTATGTAATCTTACATTTCCATACATAATAGTCCTTGTACAATTGCGTTTTATATTAATAGTTACATAGAAGATACTAATCTTATCTAGCTAAACAGGCGTTAAATCGGAAATATTTTAGAATCAACTGATATTAGTGCGAAATGTGTACTAAATCCCTTCTCCTTGCATTAGTTCAAAACAAAACATATTACATTTAATACACACCAATTCTAAATATATACTCGGCAAATTGTATTTTAATTAATTCAAGTATATAATTATCCGGTAACATACCTGGGCATCAGCTCCTCTCATGAAGAACCTGGTGCCAGCTCTATCCACACAGCGGCGGGAGACCAGCGACCACATCAGCTGTTGACCATTCACAGTCACATTGTTGATCGCTACAACTGGATCAATTTAGTCAAGGATAATGCATATAAAAGACTAGCTGTTTCAGTGCGGCTTCATCGACGTGAACAGCAATTGATTTTTTGGTTTACATTTCGTAAAACTTTCAAAATTCAAATGCTCAAATACCACAATTTATTGTCATAAAGGTCCTAGCTATTCGTTGAGAATTTAAGTAACCATGGCAACCTAGCTTATTTGCTGATATTGGCTTGTACATTTTGTCCCTTTATCGCATAGCAATTTGTTCCAATTTACACCACTTGAGTTTAATAGCGAGAAAATCTAGCCTAAATGGTGTCGTAAGTGTAGGGTAAATAACACAATTATTGTTGCAATGCTTGAAAATTGCTAGCAATTAGTGACTTATGTATGTTGGATCTTCTCGTGTGTGTGTTTTAAAGGATACAGCCTTGTATAACTGGTAAAGCGAATCTCTCGAACTGTTGATGGGCAAAGTCCTTGAGTAAATGGCCGTTCCACAGAAAACGAGCATCAGCACGAGTTGCTAGTGACATCTAAAAACAATATTAATTATGGCATATTGACGTACTTGGAATGGTAGATGGTTGGTTTGTTGAACATTAGAATGGTAGATGGTTGGATTGTTGAACATTGAAATGTTACATGGTTGGATTGTTGAAACATTGAATGTTATATGGTTGGATGGTTGGATTGTTGAACATTGAAATGTTACATGGTTGGATTGTTGGAACATTGAATGTTATATGGTTGGATGGTTGGATTGTTGAACATTGAAATGTTACATGGTTGGATTGTTGGAACATTGGAATATTAGAAGGTTAGATTGTTGGAATGTAGCTTGACTAAGTAGTGAAGTAGTTATCAAAACTTAGTCTATAAAACATGTACTGATAAATTATACATAGAACATAAATAATTAAAAATGCAATAAAAATCGTAGTAGTTCTTAAATTTAAACTACAATCATAACTTTTTAAATTTCAAACAGAAATATTAACATAGTATTCTTGGATTATTAAAATTCGTAGAGCTCATGTACTTACTTTATGGAATTCAGTTGGAACAGAATGTAATCGTTGCATTGTATGAGTCAGATCATATCCATAGGAGAAATAGATGCCGGGGGTTTCTAAAGCTGCCCGCACAAGTCTTTCATATGTATTGTTATCATCAATCTGTAATTTAAAATTATCTTTAAATTTCCTCACGTTCAGAGCCTCATGGAAAGTATTTACCGGTAATTGAGCTCTGGCATGTCCTAGCTATTTATCATTAATGTTTCCCGGTCGTAGGGGTACCTGCACATATCGGCGAAGAAATTCAAAGATATGTGTGAAGTCAACCAACCCGGACTGGGCCAGCGTGGTTGACTATGGCCTAGTCACCCCTTACTTATGGTAGGCTCCGAGACCCTCGGTGGGAACGTATAGTGAGCTGGTGATGATGATGATGATGTGGGGGTTGATAAACTATGTTCCCATACACGCACAAAATAGACAACTATATTCCTAATATTTTTATGTTTGTTAAACTAGCGCTTGACCACGATCCCACTTGAAGAAAGTGATAATGCAGTCGATAGATGGTACTTGCTTTTTTAAAGTAACTATATTTCCTAAGCTTTTTGAATTATTAGAAGCTACTTTTTTTTTTAAAACTCTTGTCTATGTATAGTTAAGGATAAAATCGATATTTTTGTATAATTACCTGTTTATTTGTGAGATGTGTTGTTGATCTTGCATATGGCAATATCTCTGCACCAGCCAATTGATAGATATCATGGCCATTTAGTTTTCCAATCTAAAACAGTAGTCTCGTTTTAACAGAGAATCTTATTTCACTTTGGTAGTAAATATTACAATAATATAGAGAGAGAATTTCTTAGTAAATACGTAGGTAGATAGACTGTTCAAAAATCTATACATCAAGGTTTGATCTACAAAATGTATTAAGTTCCATTTTTCCAAAGTTAAGGTGAGAGAAAACATTATGATCCAATCTGCACTTCATCAAAGATATGTGTGAAGTCAACCTGCAATGGGCCAGCATTGACTATGTACTAATCACTCCTAACTTGGTTGAAGCCCTCGGAGACATAAGCCGTCAGACAATTAACATTTTTTAGTTGAATAAAGCCTAGAATTGTGTATTGTTTTTACATCACAGGTCCAGTCAGTATATGTCATATGTTTTTAATATGAAATTCTTACCAAAATCCTGTATTTCGCTACAACAAGGTACAATCCTGATATTAATCTTATTGTACCGAGGAATCCACAAACAGGCTTGTATGCATCTAAAGGGATTGGTATCTTCACTGATTTGACATCTAGAAAAGAATTTAAATACAATACTGTAGGATTTATTTTCTATTAAAAATTATTTAGTTTCACATATTCATTTACTGTATTTCAGCTTAGTGACAATTTTGTAAACTTTTTTTCCTTCAACATAAATACCACTAATAAAGAAGACTACTATATCCATAACAAAAAAACATCACATTTACCTTTTTGTGCATGCAAATATTATAAAACATTTAATTTAAATTTATCACTTTCAAGTGAGCATCGGTGGCTTATTGGTTTGAACACTTGACTTGTAATCTTAACAATCTTAACATCTCTAACAGGTCTTGGGTTCGAATCCCACCGTGTACCAATGTGATTTTCGATTTTTCGTATTTTCATATGTACATAATTTACCCGACGTTCTTACGGTGAAGGAAAACATCGTGATGCAACCTGCACATATCGGCGAAAAAAATCAAAGATATGTGTGAAGTCGACCAACCCGCACTTGGCCAGCGTGGTTGACTATGGCCTAGTCACCCCGTATCTGGGTAGGCTCCGAGCCCCTCGGTGGGGTGGGGACGTATAGTGAGCTGGTGATGATGATGATGATGACTTTCAAGTAGGGTTGGCAACAAGCAGGCGGCTGACCCTAATTTAATCCCTTAATTAAGCCAAAACTTTGAGGTTTATAGAACCTTGTGCACTGAACCCTTTTGAGTGGGATAAGACCAAGGACATATAGTCTTATACAGATAGCAGAAAAATCAATAGAATGTTTTAATACAGTAGAACCTCGATAACTCAAACCTCAGTAACATAAAAACCTCTATAACTTCAAAAAATAATATGTTCCCTTCCTATCAGAGCCTAAAACCTCTATAACATAGACCCTTGATAACTTAAAACCTCTATAACTTAAAATATTTTGTGTTTCCCTTGGACTATAACTTATTGAGGTTCTACTGTACATAAGTCTTTTATCGATGAGTTTACCTTTCACTGACGCCTCTCCGGTGATTCTATCTATGACCAATATCTCTGTTGGATTCACATGCGGCTCCAAGAAGAATTTGTCAGATGTTGTATATCTAAGAGAATAACAAAATATTTAGATCCAAATATTATATCACATTTAATCCTACATGTATATCCATTGACATCATCATCTTCCCACTGTTGGAAATACGCCTTCAGCAATACCTTCTACTGAATGTGGTCTTCCACCTTCCGCATCCAACTTCCTACCATGCTCACTAAGTCATGGATATAAATAAAAATAATTTTTCTAAATCTATTTGAAAGAAATAACTCAAAAACTACTGGGCCATTTTTTAAGATTCTTTCACCATCAGAAAGGAAATTTATCATTGAATAACATAGGCTATATTTTATTTTTACTAATGTTTAGGAACTATTAATAAACAGCTTGTATACTATAAAAATAAAGTATACAATCTTTATATGATGTTTAATTTAAAACATTTAACAGCCAATTGCAACATTACAGTTTATCTTGTATTATTAATGTCCATGGGCATTATTGAGTCCCTAGGTGTTGTCACTTATTTGACCTCTTCTCTTATGAGATAATTTAATAAATGTAGGGTATAAAAGTTGAAACTTTCTTTAGTACACTTAATTAAACTTGAATAGTAGTAATACCGAAAATAAGATAGCAAGATGATGTCGAACAAGATTTTAAAAGTGTCAGCATTAAGGGCTGGAAACAAAAAGCCCAAGACAAACCTATATGGAGGAATTTACTGGACCAGGCCCAGGCCCACCCGCAGCTGTAGTGCCTCTGATGATGATGATGAGTAGTATAAACCTCTATTTTTTCTATCTTAGAGAGATGTTCTACCAAATCGAAGTCTATGGTCTCTGTCTACCCCATTAGGTTATTGGAATGAATGTTGTAATAGTTGATATTAATTTTAATTTACTTCAAATTTGCTTTACCTTATCAATGTTTAACAATGATAAAAAGAATAACAAACAATAACAGTTAATTAAATATTAATGTATTACTTGTTTGTCAAAGATATCAGCAAATCACTAGATAAATAATAATTATAGCAGTCATTACTTGAAAAGTGTAACTCTAACATCCATTAGTTATTTTAAAACATCTAATATAGTGATGATTGTATCAATTTAACGTAATGAGTACAAGGTTATATGTAAGAAAACTACTGAATCTTACAATTATCTTGTATGGTTTCTATGAAAAATCTTTTTTCCGGCAGATGTTTAAGCAGTTGTATCGAGGAAAGAAGTTTTCTTATACAGCTAATACTTACAGTTTGATGTCATCGTGGATTTGTAATATATCTGCCATATTTAACGATATCAGTTGATTTTTCACTAATTCTTGTTATATCATAGCAAAAACAGGAAAAATCCTGAACAAGTAGACGAAAATCAAAATGACAAGTGATGATTTGTTTCTGTGAGTAAAGAACAGATTAAATGACACTTGACTTGTCAGTCTGTGATTTATCATTATCATTGTCTTGATAATTTTAACGTTGAATTTGTGTCTAGATACCCTTGTTACTAAGTTTATTCATTATTTTTGAAATAACGAATGATATCACATAAAATAAACAAACAACTTTTACTAGTTGTCAGTACAAAATGTTACTAAATTGCAATAAAAATAAATTCTACAACTTGTTTTAGAACGTGTCCAAGTGTGTTCCGTTGTACGAATAAAATTACAGAAAAATACACCAAAAATTTTCCAATTAAATAAAGCTGTTCTAGTTTTTTACGACTAATGTTTAATATTACTATTTTAATAATATTAATTAGGTTGTTATGTAAACCGTTGAGTTTTTTTACTAAGGCTTTAACTTTCATGCAACAAGACTGTTGAAAGTAGTGTCAAACGTAACGTTAATGTTGCATGTGTTTTTGAAAGGTAACCTCAAAGTTTTGGTGTTTACGATTATGTTCTAACTTCTAAAAATTATTACATATTTAAAATGCTTAGTAAAATGGAAGTACCGGGATATCCCGGATTAATTAAAACGATTGAAGATGGCGAAGAAGTTGAAGATTTGTCTGAGGAATCAGATATCGAGGAGGATGTAAGTAACAGGTCTGATTTTTTATGATGACGATGCTTTGCAAATAAAAAAATTGCATTTACATTTGCAAACGGCTGTAATTCTTTTGAATATTTACACGATTGTATAACTGCAAGTAAAAGATATTTTAGTAACATGCGTCAGTCATAAGCTGTCTTAAACATTTACAAACTTTAAAGTAGCCTGTATTTAACGCTAAGCATAAATATAAAATATTACCACAAATGAGAAGATTAACCATTTTTTTAACTTCATGTTTCAGTACCAACCATCAAAGCAAAAGGTGAAAAGGAAAGCAGACTTTGATCCAACATTTAAATTTGTTGGTTCTACAGAAGAGTACAACAAGGTATTTATTGTTTTATTGCTTTTTATACTAAACTTGTTAACAATGTGAATCCTAAAGATATTCTATGCTACTGTGATTTACTCAAACAATAGTCACATACAACTTTAAGTTATATGTAAGTAAAAAAAAAATCATTTTTTTATAACATAAAGTGGTAAAGGAGTAAGTGGCTACCTAAAATCGCCAAAATGGCGAAGCGGCCGCTGCCCATAGGCATCTGCAATTGCAGATGTGATGCCTACCCTTATACGACGGAGGAGACACATATAAAGAGGATATTTCCCCTTCCTATGCATCTCCTCCACTGTCAAATCCACTTCCCCTTTCCAACCTCACCTTATAAGAAAAGGGTGGTAAAGATAAAGGGATTTAAATTAGGCCTCTGGGACCACACTTATCAGACGAAACACGGAATTGCTTCCATTTCACGCCTGTCTTTTGTTTGGTCGTGGTATTACACCGGGCGTGCCGGCCTATTCATGCTAAGATGTCAAAGCGGGCACTACCACTGTTAAAAATGAAAAACACTAATCAGCAATTTTGCAATTTTGCCTTTTAGAACCCTTGGGATGATTTACAAAAGTATGTAAGAAGAAATGTGAAACACACTTTAGATGAAAAGATAGCTAAAAGGAGAGCGGAAGTCAAAGTACATGGTAACAGTAACGATGTGGACACCGATTCTGAAGCTGAGGCTAAAGGTATGCAATCTCATCTTAAACATAAGAAATAAGCAGATCATGTATTTGATACAGTCCTGGCATGTTTATACTTTACCACACTGATACATGCTTATTTAGGTTTTGAAATCCTTCTTGAGTATTTAAACAATGTCATCATTGTCAGCCTAAAGTCAGTTTTTGAGTAACTTAATAATTTCATAGGTCAATCTTGTTGAAAGAGATGGATGAATTGTGTGAAAGGTGACATAATCAAGAAGGGAGTGACGACTGAGATGACGGATGATAGAGTGCTTTGGAGGACGAAAGCCCGGTGCGCCGACCCTACGGGAGTTGGATAAGGCAGGGGAGCTGAATCTTGTTGAAGACTGACACTATATCAACCAGGATCGGCCGCCGACCAACCAATCTGGTCAATGTAAATAGATTTATTATAGTAACGAGTATGAGGCGTTATTGTCGCGAAGCGACGATAACGCCCCATAAATCTTAAACAAACAATACTTAATTAACTGACTGTTTTCTTAAACAGATGTCGGCCAACTTAAACACCATCCTGGCCTCATCCGTAGACGGGTAAGCCAGGATAGTGCTTAAGTGACCGACATTACACCCATAACAAACATATAGTTAATTGGAGTATGTGTACAAATATTGTCAATCATAGCACATACCAAACATTATTTTGTGTATTTTCTAATTTAAATTATAATTTCTATTTCTAACAGATGAAGATGTTGATGAACTAGAAATATCTGATGATGAACTCAAGAAAGATGAAATAAAGACTAAAGAAAGGAAACTCACTAAGAAGCAAAAATTAAAAGAGGTAAGTAAGATTATTTACTGTTGCAAAATTTATAGTCAATCCTAGATAAGTGAAAAGTTTTTATTAGTGAGTTTTGCCTAATTCCAATGTTCTACCATCACTAGTTTAATAATCAGTGAGAAACTTAAATAAGAGAGAAATATATAGCTGTCAATTGAAGTCTCGTCTTACTTGAGTAAAGGTAGACCTTATGGATTGCATGAAAAGTGACATGATGAAGATGTGATGACTTAGATGATGTATGATAGAGTTATTTGGAGGCCAAATATCCAGTGTGCAGACATTACGGGAGTAAGATAAGCTAAGGGAGATGATGATTGGAGTCTCTATAAACTCTTTACAGCAATTACAAGAAGATGAAGATCAAGGTACTAGAATTGAATATGACTCGGATTTCTTTGAAGAACCTCCACCTTATGATGAACAAGCATCTTTTTATATGATGAATCTCTCTCGACCACTTCTCAAGGCTATTGGCAGTTTGAACTATGTTCATCCAACTCCAATACAAGCTGCTACTATTCCTATTGCATTATTAGGTATGTTTTTATTATTTTTAACTCAAACTCTTGCCCTTGACTAGAATTTTAAAAAAAAAAACTTTTTAAGTAGTCTATGAGTGCTAGACAGTATTTTACGACTTAAATTTCATCCACATTCATGCAGGAATTATGGATACATTCTATTATCCATCCATCCATACAAAAATGTTTATAAAATATTGAAATGAATGAAAGAAACATTGTCTTATGCTATAACTTTACACAGTCAAAATCTAGTTGATCATGTAATTTATTATCTACTAGCTTTCGCTTGCGACTCCGTCTGCGTGGTATTGGAAAAAACAAAAGTGAATTGGCTATGTGTTCTTCCAGACTATATTCTACATCTATGTCGAATTTCATCGAAATCCGTTCAGCCGTTTAGGCTACAAACTCAAACAAACATCCATCCATCTAAACTTTCACATTTATAATATTAGTAAGATGGATTTGTGTGTGTGTATTAAAAACAAATCTATCTTATTTGTTACTAATGTTATAAATCCGAAATTTTGGATGGATGGATGGATGTTAGAGTTTGTAGCCTAAAGCGCTTAACAGATATCAATGAAATTTGGACATAGACATAGAAAAACACTATTTAATTTTTTTATTTTACTCTTAATTTGTCGAGGGCCAAAGCTAGTTTTTAATAACTCTGTGATCAGTCTTATAAAAGTAATAGTATTTGCATGTTTGTTATAATTTTTAATCATTTGTACATTAGGTAAAGATATATGTGCGTGCGCGGCGACAGGCACGGGTAAAACTGCAGCATATATGTTGCCAATATTAGAGAGGTTATTGTACAAAGCGGGTGGAGACAGGATTACCAGGGTACTGGTGCTTGTGCCTACTAGGGAGTTGGGTGCTCAGGTAGGGAATGTTTTAACTTATTTTTTAAGTTTTTATTACTTGGTCTCTGCCTTATTAAATAAATGACTTATTGTTTATGGAGTTCAGTGAATTAGGGTTTATAAATACTTTAGAGAAAAATCAATATTAATTAAGACTGAATATTGCCAGTTTCTTTTATTCCGCTCGGAAATTTAAAAAAAAATCGAAAGTATATAGCCTATGTTTTCTACCAGACTATGTTCTACATAACCAAATTTCATCAAGATTCGTTCAGCTATTTTGGCGATATTTCTCAAAAAACATCCATCCATTTGAACTTTCGCATTTATTTGAAAGATTTTGACTGTTCTCTATACTAATATAATAAAGTGTAAACACACACTTCTTTGTTGCCTAAGATCTCAGCTTTTACAGCATATTTTTGAATCAATCTTTTTTTAACAAAAAGCCCTTCACTTACGTCACGCTTTAGGCTATATATTTTCACGCCAATAAACTTAGGGGTAAATAATTTGGATAAAAATCCTAATGTGGGAAAAAGACCATAAGTCATCAAGAAAGCAGGATTGCTAAGGTTTGTCATGTCATGTCATTTTGACATTTGCAATTGATAATTTGACAAACAATAAAATTTTGATATTCTACGCGGATGAAGTCGCATGGGAACAGCTAGTCTATAAGAAATTGATTACTTAGTGTCGAATAAAGACTGAGAAAATATTTTTTTATGATCCAGGTGCATGCAGTGACAAGGCAACTGGCACAGTTCACCTCTGTTACTATCGGTCTGTCTGTTGGTGGATTGGATGTCAAATATCAGGTGATTTTTTTTGTTATAGATTTGTTCTTTAATTAATGCACACTTTAGTAATCTTAGATAACTGATATGTCATGTTTCAAAAACAATTGCTGTTTAAATTTTTTAGAATTTAAATTACCTTAATAAAATGTTAAATATACTAGTTGTTACCCGTGACTCCATCTGCAAGAAATTAAGAAAACTTAGAAGGTGCATATGTGTTCTTCCGGACTAAGTCCTACATCTGTGCCAAGTTTCATTGAGATCCTATGAGTTATGACATTTTGGAGATACATAGTAACAAATGTCCATACTTTCGCTCTTATATTAGCAAGACTAGTATACTAGATTAGTAAATTTCGAAAACATTTTCAGTTAATATGTTAGTAAATGTTTTATTGATTAGTCTAGTTTTTGACCGACTTCCCAAAAGAAGGAGGTACTCAATTCGTCTGTATCTTTTTTTTTATATGTGTTACGGCATAACTCCGCCGCTAGCGGACCGATTTTGATATTTTTTTTAAACAATATTCATCTAGGAAAGCGTGCTCCGTCGTAATCCAGACATAGTGATAGCAACTCCAGGCAGACTTATAGATCACATCAAGAACACGCCATCTTTCAGTTTACATTCTATTGAAGTTCTGGTACTTGATGAAGCTGACAGGTTGGTACAGCATGCTTAACTTCAAGTCTGTCGTCATCACCTTATCCACCTCCCGTAGTGGCGCAAGAGGTTTTTGTCCTCCAAATAACTATATCATCCGTCATCTCAGTTATCACTCCCTTGATCATGTCACCTTACACGCAATACAATATCTATACAATGTCTATCTCTTTCTAGGTCTACCTCTACCAGTGTACCTCCACAATCATAACTAACCTTCTCCTTGTAACATGCGATTCATCCCTTTTCACATGCCCATACCATGCTAACCTTTTGCTCCTTACCTTCTCTACCACTGGAGATAATCTCAAACTTCCACAACTTAACTTAGCTTAACTTCAAGCCTGTGATAGCCATCGTTCTGAACATTTTTTAAATGTCCATGTATGTGCACCCTAGTAAAAGTGTCTATGGTCAATTGTAACTTTTGATTCAGTCCACTTTCACAATAACGACTGTTGCTGGCGACTTCGTTCGCATGAAAAAAAAAAAAGTGGCCTATGTCACTCTGTGATAGTATATCTTTTAAATGGTGAAAGAAATTTGAAATTGGCCCGGTAGATTATGAGTTATTTCAATACATACAGATTAGTTCTTTTTACTTCAAAAAAGAGGTTCTCAATTTGTCTGTATGTATTTTTTTGTTAAATTCTTCTTCTGGTTCAATTTTCATCATTCTTTTTATTTATGGGTACTGAGTGATATTTAACTTAAAAACTACTCAGTAGTTATTTTACATTTACTTATTTATTTTTTATTATTAAATGTTAATTTACTTCAGGATGTTAGATGAATATTTTGCGGAACAAATGAAGGAGATTATAAGACAATGCTCTGCTAAGCGACAGACTATGTTATTCTCAGCGACTATGAGTGAGGAAGTGAAAGATTTGGCCGCAGTGTCACTGAATAAACCTGTCAAGTTGTTTGTGGATTCCAACAAAGATGTAGCTTTTAATCTGCGACAGGAGTTTGTCAGGTAAAAAAACAATTTATGTTAGAAATCTGTTTCTTATTACTATTATGTTATACTAGCTTTGTCATTCAGATATCATTCAGATCCATTCAGCAGTTTAGGCTACAAACTCATAACAAACATGCATCTAAACTTTCGCATTTATAATATTAATAAGATTTGAATATAAACATTATTTTTTTGGGATTACTTCATCAAAAAAATATTTTCTTTAAAATTACCTACTTTTGGTCAGTTTCTACTTTTTTCCAAGACATGTTTCTTAAAATGTTGAATTTGGCTTTCCTTATAACAGTATACTAGATAAAATACCTTTCCAACAGTGAACATTTTTAAAATCAGGCCATTAGTTCATATGTGAATCGAATACATGCAAAAAAAAATATTCCTCTACATAATATTAGTATATATATATACATTTGAGGTTTAAATTTCATTAAATTAAATTAATTGTATTAGGATACGTAAAGAGCGCGAGTGCGACCGCGAGGCGGTGCTGGCGGCGCTAGTGTGCCGCACATTCCGCGACCGCGCTGTCATCTTCGTACAGACTAAAAAACAGGCGCACAGACTGCACGTCGCATTAGGACTGCTCGGAGTTAAAGTATGATATTTATTATTATTATAAATATTTATTTAGTAGATTCTTATTTATTTTATTAGCCAAAATACAGAATAAATAACCCATGTGTTTTTCCAGATTTTGCTGTTTCATTATGCCAAATTTCATTAACATCTGTTCAGCCGTTTAGGCTCCAAACTAACAAATATCTATCCATCTATCTAAAGTTACGCAGTTATGATATAAGTAAGATTTATTAGACATTAATACTAGATTTGTCTGCGATTTCGCTGTTAAGTTTTTATTTAAAAGTTGAATTTTATACAAATAAAAATAATAATGAAAGTGTATTATAAACCATTTCATTTTTTAAGACTATAGAAACATATCATAATGAAGTTGAGATAAAAACACTGAAGTCTTCCAAAATATATCCATTTTTATTCAGTGAAAATCGAAAATATATTGACATTTACATTGAATACAAGTAATAAAGTTATTGGTCTCTAATGAAACAGGAGCTTTATAAAAATTCATTTTATGTCATAATCTGTGCTTTAACATGAAAAAACTATATTTACATACTAAAATATTCCACTTATAGGTAGCAGAATTACATGGAGCGTTAAACCAGCCTCAGCGATTGGATTCATTAAAAAGATTTAAGGAGGAGCAGGTCGATGTACTAGTAGCTACAGATGTAGCGGCCAGAGGTTTGGACATACCCGGGGTAAAGACTGTACTGAACTTCACATTGCCTGCTACATTAGAACATTATATACATAGGGTAAGTGAAAATGTATATTATTGTTGGATTGGAATATTAGATTTTCACTGTTATTTTTATTTTAGACTAGCCGTTCCCGTGCGGCTTCATCCGCTTGGAATTAATAAAATTTATTTTTTTGTTTACATTTGTCAAATTATCAATTGCAAATGTCAAAATACCAATTACCTTACTATGGCAATCTTGCTTCTTGATGTTGGCAGCTCGTATCGTATGGTCTCTTTCCCACTTTAGGGTTTTTATCCAAAATATTTACCCCCTAAGTTTAATGGCATGAAAATATATAGCCAAAAGCGTGACGTAAGTGTAGGGACTTTTATTAAAAAAAGAATTACTCAAAAATATGGTGTAATTGCTGACATCTTAGGCAACAAAGAAGTGTGTGTTTACGCTTTATTGTAATAGTATAGATAACGAATAAATCCACATGGTCTTAATTGCTGTCTCATTATAAATTAACTTTTTAATTTTAATTCTTTTCTGAAGTGCCTCTACTAAGGGTTTAAAACAATTTTTTCATCAGCTCACTATATGTCCCCAATTAGGGAAGTCTACACTAAGTTAGGGGTTTCTAGGCTATAGTTAATAATGGCCTACTGCCGGTTTACTTAACACATTGAATTATCGAATATGTGCAGGTTGCATCACGATGTTTACCTACACCACAATGTTATATGAGAGTGCACCTTTGATTAAATTATCGCACAACTGTTTATTATCGCTTTGATTCCTAGCTTATATGGAGGTGAGCACACTACTCGATTTTTAGTTGTGCAACTAAACATTTGAGGCTCCGAAACAATTGACAACCGCACAACAGTTGTGCGATTGTTTAGTTTAATTTTTGCTCCCGCGTTAAATGTACAGAAATCCGAAAAAAAAACTGATACATGGCGGGATTCGAATCCATGACCTGTAGATTACAAAGTCAAGTGCTGAACCACTGAGCTATCGATGTTCTATTATTTTTGTTGAAATAAATAATACTATTAACCAGGTGGGTAGGACTGCGCGTGCGGGGCGCGCGGGGGTGTCTGTGTCGCTGGCGGGGGAGGGCGAGAGGAACCTGGTGAAGGCGATAGTGCGGCGCGCGCGCAGGCCGGTCAAGTCGCGCGCGGTGCCGCCTGACATTGTCGCTAAATATCGCGACAGATTAGCTAGATTGGAACCAGAGATTGGTAAGATGTACCGATTGGTGAAAATCGATTTTCCCGATCCGATCCCATTTGTTTGTAATTTAGAAGAAACGTAAAGTATTTTTTTTTAATTTCTATTCAGATCTAAAATTTGTGCTCATTTGACTAATTTTATTATAGCTATGTGATAAATAAATTGTATTTTTATCAATAGCCGCTATACTTGACGAAGAATATGCAGAGAAACAGATAAACAAAATGGAGAAGCAGACGGCGAAACTGGAAACTAACTTGAAGAAAGAGAAAGAAGGACCTCAAATTGAAGTAAAGCGGCAGCACGAATGGTTCCAAACGCCTAAAGAGAAGAGAGAAGAAAAAGAACGGCTTGCATTGACTCGTCATCCAGGGAAAGGTAAATTGATCGTTTCATCTCACGAACATACAAAAATCATCACTTATTAAAATAAATAGAGAATTTTTGGCCATAAAACAATTAGTGTAATATTTTTCCGCAAGATGGCGCGCGCGGCCGCATATCTCCTAGTCACATGTTTTTTTGTTAAAGAATATTTATGGTATCTATTTTTTCCTACAGAGAATGTTAAGGGCAAAGGTAAAAAGCGTAAGCGTGACGACGATTCGGACGATGATGATGACAAGAAGAAAAAGAAAAAGACAACGAAACACACGCCCAAGGATACCGCAGAAGAGAGAGTGAGAAAGGAGATGGAGAAGGTAATGTATATAAAAAGATGGTCAAATTATAGACAAAATAAACCTACTTATTACCTATCGTTTTTGCCACTTTTAGATCCTTAATGCAACTTGATTTCTATACAATTTTTCCGTCTTCAGGTTGCTTTACTTCAATCAAGGATGGCAAAACGCAAGAAGAAACAACGAAGAATAAAAGCAGTCGATGACGACGATGACGAAAGATCGCAGTTCAGAAACAACCAAAAGCCAAAGAATAAAAAGAAACAGAGTAATTTTGCAAACGATTTGACAGATACCTCTAGGGCTGCAGCAAAGAGACTCCGATATGATGCCAACCGAGTACAAAAAGGTGTTAAATTCCCACAGAAAAAGGGTAAAGGTCCGGCTAAAGGAAAGGGCCCGAATAAAACGAAAACGTTTGGAAAACCTCAAGCACCTAAAGAAGGAGGTCGCAGAAAAAATAAATAAGAAATACAAAGATAATATGATGCGTTTTATGTTAATAAATAATACATGTGTATGATAAACTGCAGTTAATTTATTCTTGTAGAATGTTCCCACTTTTAACCGAGGCAGTAAATATTCCAAGTCGATTCTATGTTGGTTGTGGTTTTGCTTGTCTTCACCAAACGTCATATTTCTAAATTATTAGTTTTTGTAAATTTTGCCGCAGCTGATATAAAAAAAAAGACAAACAGACGATTTGATTTTCTCCTTCTGGGAAGTTGTCAAAATCCTTATCCTCTACACTGTCTATGTAAACATTGTTTTATTTAAATCTGAAAAATCCAATGAGAAACGACAACGCTTTTTATTGTTATGCCCGGTTGACACTTGGCCAGTACAGTCAATAGTTGCGGCGGCAAGCGATAGTCATTGGCGACTGCTAGCGTTTTCACTGTGCTAGGTAATTGACAGTCTAATCAGAGCAGTTTTCAACAACTGTAAAGGCAAAGTGTAAAACGCGCATGTCGAACTATCGATGTTAGACAAATTCTAATATAATCTATGAAATTGACCATAGACAATCACTGTGGCGTCGTCCGAACGGATGTTGTTTATGATCGACATTTTCCTTTGGAAATTAGATGTGGACATGAAGTTCTAAATTTTGTTAAACTTAACTATTATTTTATTGTTATTGAATATATTTTATGATGTTAAACCTTTTAAAATAACCTCAGAAGTGTAAAAAGTGACTTAGACGTTCTGTGGACGAATTAAACATAAGTTTTTTTTTCTTCTGAAATATAGCGGGAAATCTCCGTTGTGACGCGCACAAACGTTGATAATTTGCGGAGTCTACTGCTGAGGTGTCGTGATAGGTTGTTATGTGGTTATCTTCACTCTGACAGTGGAACCGTGTTGTATATTTAGAATTGACAATGTCAGACGAAATGGCGGTGGGTGATAACGCTACAAGCGACGAGAATAAAGTAAACAGGGACGAGACGGTGGCGGAGGAGGTCGAAGGTGGTGGTGAAGCTTGTCCACAGGCTGTGGATGAACCTCCGACAGACACGGATGAGGTTACGGCCCCAGTTGATGGTTAGAACTTTCACATAACCTAGTATTTATTTGATGACATAAATTTGCTTGTAATGTTCAGACTAAAGTTAAAAATCCTTATTTTTCACTAATTAACACATAAGCCTTCGAATGAATGGCGAATTTCGTCAATAAATTGTAAAATAATGTTAAAAGTAAGTGAGTCAACCAAATAATTCAAGCGCTACATTTATAACAGATTGTTGCTATGGTGCATTGGAATAAAGGAATTACTGCTGTTGTACTAGTGTTGTTGAATTGAGTTATTTCTAAAGTCTAGAATACTATTTAACCATTATTTCTACTATTTATAAATTATTCTTTATTTTTTTATTTCAGCGAGTTTGTCGCTAAGACATTTAAAGTTGTATTTTTGTCAAATACACATATTTTCAAATCGCTATTTATGACTTTATTACAAAATTTGCAACATTTGTATATGAATCATGTGACAAAATGTAATGTTATATTTGTTTTATTTCATCGGATTTCTTATTTGCTCCAAGAATCATTCATCGGAAAACATTTTTTATTCATTATAAATACCAAAACTTAAGGGAAATCACTTGAAATATATTCTTTTTGGACAAACATTCTAATATCTCAATTGCAATAAAATAATTTAGAATAACATGAATTGACGGAAATTGAGAAAATCTACTTTTGCATTACTTAATTTAAGTAAGTTATGCTCACTTTTGTTAAAGATACAGGCATAGATTCACTTAAGTTTATTATTAACAATATGAGATATTTTGAATAAAAAAATTATCTCCTGCCTGCTATTTTATCTGTGCGGAATTTAAAAGAAAACTTCTATATGTTCTTCCGCTGTGTTTTACATCATAGAATATACATAGAAATGTTCTGGAGATAACTTCTAATAAATATTCATCCATCCATCCAAACTTACGCATTTATAATATTAGTAACAGTAACATTATTGTTTTTACTACCAAGTAGTAGGCTATCTTACCACTTTTACAGCCAGCAACTATTTTGTAAAATGCGCTATTATAAGGAATTGCTTGAATTGGTACAAACTTTATTTAATAGTATGAAATAGTTAAAATTTCTTATGTAACCATAGCTGTTCTATGAAGATAAAGAATGGGAACATTGTGTATGCCTGTCATCGGTGTATTTCTGTTTTTTGTTTTGACTACGAAATGTTGCCCGCGACTTCGTTCGCGTGGTATTAGAAAACATACGAACTATATAAATTACAAAAAGCTACGTATCCCTCGGGAACCGGACATTTCTCGGGGATGAAGCTTATCCCATGTGTACTCCAGATTTTGATTTAGATATAAAAATGTGCCAAATTTCAATAAGATATGTTGAACCGTTGCAGAATGATCGAGTAAACATTAAAAAACTAAATTAATTAATCCCATGGGAACCGTAACTATTCCGGGGATAAAAAGTAGCCTATGTGTTCTTTCAGACTATGCTCTAAACCTGTGCCAAATTTCATGGAGATCCATTCAGCCGTTTAGGCTACAAACATCCATCCATCCATCTAAACCTTCGCATTTATTAATATTAGTAAGATGTATTTCTGTTTTTGTTTCTTGAACATGCAATTATTATTTGCAGTGCTAGTTTTTTCTGTTGTAAATGCAAAAGTTTAAATGGATGTTTATTAGAGTTTAAGCCTAAACTGCTAAACGGATCTTGCTGAAATTTGGCATAGATGTAGAGGAAAATCTAGAAGACATTGGTTACTTACTTTTTTATATTTCATGCAGACAGAGTAACGAGCGGAAGCTATTTGATAAATATGAGTGACTAGCTGTTCCCGTGCGGCTTCATCCGCATGAACTTATGAAAATTTTATTTTATTGTTTACATTTGTCAAATTATCAATAGCAAATGTCATAATCACATGTCATGACATGACAAACCTTGGCAATCTTGCTTCCTTGATGTTAGCAGCAACTTATGGTCTTGTTCCCACATTAGGGTTTTTATCCAAAATATTTATCCCCTAAGTTTAATGGCGTGGAAATATATAGCCTTAAGCGTGACGCAAGTGTAGAGCTTTGTATTACAAAAGGAATTATTCAAAAATATGGTGTAATTGCTGACATCTTAGGCAACAAAGAAGTGTGTGTTTACGCTTTATTATAATAGTAAAGAATATAGTTATAGAACATATATGTATTAAGTTTTGTGCAGAATCTTTGATACTCCATTTTAAAGTATACATGGAAGTATAGACAGGATGTTTTATAGAGTGATTTGTGTAACTGTGTCAATGATTCATGAACTTACTATGTTATGTACTTGCGGTGTCTAATTACTTAACTAATAAAATTGGGGATTTTATTCCAATCTGTCTAAACTTTCTTAACCTATTTTGTATTGTTTGAAATTATGTTGAATTTGAAAATATATGATTTTATAAAGTTTGAATCCTATATTGGCTTTATTATATAAAGTTGTTGTATTGTTACATTATGCAATATATTTGAAGAGTTGTAATAGACTCACTTTATAAAAGTGTTAAATTTTATTTATCAATACTCTTTACAACCATCATTTTTGTATGTATCCACTAAGATCTATATGTTTTAACCCATGTGAAACGGTTTCAGTTGTGATATAATTAATTTTTTATTATAGATAAACTGGACGCAGATAGTCTAGAAGACAAAGATACAGTTAATACTGAAGAGAAAGAGATAGAAGACAAATCACAAGAAGATGAGCAAGATGGAGAATCACGTGGGACTAAACGTCGTGCGTCAATCGCGTTTAGTGAAGCAGGCGATGAAGAATTTAAAGGATTCGAAGAGATGAAGGATCAAGATTTGTCCAAAGAATATAGTCGTGTTTTGGGTGAGTCTTTAACAAAGTTTGTATTGCTTCGGGTTGAATCTTACAACATATGATTATATGTAATAGTGTCGCCACATTTAAATTCCAAATTGCGTTAACATTTTGTTGTTACCCGGATTGTAAGTAGAGCTTACAAAGTGTATATAAGGTTTGTTTTAGTATTCCCTTTTATTATAATATATTTCAGTTCAAGTCTGGTAGACTGTATGTACTGTCTGATAACAGTGGTAGAGTCTGCTTTAGCATCCTCGCACAAACTAGTTGGCTTGCCCGCTGAAATACCATGACCACACAGGAGCAATTCCACATTAGATCTGATGAGTGTGGTGCCAGAGGTCCAACGACTAATGTTGGACCTCTGGCACCCTTTTTCTTCCCACCATTTTTGTTATAAGAAAAGGATGGGAAGATAAGAAAGGGATGGGGTGAGAAGGGATTTGACACATGAGGAGACAATAGGAAGGGGAAATATCCTCTTTATGTGTGTTTCCTCCTCTGTCGATTAAGTCGCTTCAATATTTTGACAGATTCAGGTGGCCACTTGCTCATTTGCCACCTTATGATATAAAAAAAAATTAAGTGCACAGCATGTCTGTAGTAGTATGCTATGTAGTTCATTTTGTTATTTTTTTATTCTTATTAGATAATGTGTATTGTTTAAGATTGATTGATAATAAGGCTAACTTTTTTATAAAATTTTCTTGGTTAACTACTAAGAATATTTGTTAATAATTGTTTCTAACTATGGCCTAGTCCGGTCTGGCCAAGCCTCTCAGTGGTGATGTATACTGTGCTGGTCATAATGATTGTTTTTAACTTTGTTCTGTCTCTATATTGTTAAGTACTACAAATACATTGTTTAAGCACAAATAAATCTATAGATTTATCTAGACTTAACAATGTATTTATTAACATTATAGATCTTTCCGGTAGTTTCATTGTATTACTTTGTATCAACAGAACGATTAGAAGCAGAAGTACAAACAGCGATTAAAGATTTGAAGCCAATCAAGAGTTTGAAAGCTACGATATCTCCAATCAAAGCAAGTAAACGACCTCGCCAGGATACAGGTATGCATTCTAAATGTACACCGCTGAAATATTCATAGAAGTGTGATTTTAAATATTAGTAAGAGAGGGCGGCACACCTTTCAGTAAATTATTGCACATTTTTGCGATTGTCTATTGTTTCGCATTCAACTGTTTAGTTGCACAACTAAAAATCGAGTAGTGTAACCTCCATATAAGCTCATAGGAATCAGAGCAAATTTTAACAGTGGTAGTGCCCGCTTTAACATCATAGCACTGCAGGGCCGGCACGCCCCCAGTACCACGACCACACAGAAGACAGGCGTGAAATGGAAGCAATGCCGTGTTTCGTCTGATGAGTGTGGTGCCAAAGGCCTTATTTAAGTCCCTTTCTCTTTACCACCCTTTTCTTATGAGAGGATGGGAAGGGGAAGTGGATTTGACGATGGAGGAGATTCATAGGAAGAGGAATATCCTCTTTATGTGCGTCTCCTCTTCCGTCGGATAAGGGTAGGCGACGCATCTGCAATTGCAGACGTCTATGGGCAGCAGTCGCTTCGCCATTTTGGCGGATTCAGGTGGCCGCTTGCTCGTTTGCCATCTTATATTATAAAAAAAAAGCGAAACCAAATAGTAGTGTGATCGTTTAGTCAAGGTATACGCCCGCTTTGAGTGTTTAAACATTATAGAAAAAAGAAACAATGATCAGTTGTCAAGATTTGATGCGACTCACTTTTTTTTACAACTATTAAGTTATATTATAAACAAAATTAACTTATTTGTATAACTTCCAGATGGATCAAGACCATCATCAGCTTTATCAACAAGGTCAGATGGTGAATGGTCAGAGGTGAGTTCGCATTTTCCAATCTAGCCACCCTTTTATAGTTCCAGCAATGCTTGGCAGCTAACATGCCTTACTTTGATATGCTGTTATGGTTTAAACAGCTTGTTATTGATAAGAGACCATTTTTAAGTTTTTTTTTTAATTTGGTTATGAATATGCTGGCGATAATAATTAAATGCTTTACAATATTTTTGTATCAAAGACTTGGTATTTAATAATTGATTTATATGTTTTGAGCAAATACAACCTTAATGAATATTGGAAGCTTCTAGAATTAAAGGATAAAGTGCTTACAGTCTTAGTAATTTGTTTTTAATAGTTTGAAAGTAATAAGCACACTATAATTAACTGTTTTAATAACTGGTCACCAATGAAAAAGAAAAGTGAGCATAAACACAATAGTGTTGTGCTGAGAATCGTCAAATTTATTTTATTGCTTGAGTTGGTTCTTTATTAATCTGTATGTATACAATTGACATAGATGAATTATTTTAGATTATTAAAATGTTATGCCTATAGGTACTTGAACTCTCGGTTCCTAGCATCGTAGCATTAGTGTAAATATTTATGTTAGTTTTCTTTTTTCAAAGAATAAGTATGAGAACAATTTGTTGTACTTAATATTAGAAAACCGAGGTAAAGACTGTTTAATATATAAATGTATGCAATCACTTAATTTGTCTAAAATCATTGTCATTCAATTATTTGCATGTTATTTTCATAAGCATTTTCTCAGCCTCCATTGCTTTGGCTCGATTCATGCACTGATTGATGCTGTGTTTAATAATTTTAATTAAATTTAAAAAATCCATACTAAAAATAAAGTGAACAACCCAAGATACAGAATGATTACTATTATTATAGCTTGAAATATGAAAATAAATAAAAAAAAGATATACCTTTAGCAATGTATTAAGTTGTCAAAATCCCTTAATATGTAGTACTAATTAGAAATAACTGAAAATAAGAACAGGTTATCGGAAATACATAATTATAATTTAAAATATGATTGTATGTCTATCGTCATGACGTATTAAATTCCCTTGTTCTAGGCTAAAAAATCTCCTTTAGAATATAATGTCTCCAATAAGCAGGTAGCTGTTGCTTTGCGCAGGGTTGAATTTATAAAAAAATTCAATGTAAGAACATTTAAATATTACATTGACGATTCTAGACTTTAAAGTCTAGATAATATAGTTGTGATTTTTAAGTATTTTTGTGTTATGGTGACGGAGGCCAAATTTATTCCTCTACCCATTCCTACCAATTTTTATGGAGAGGATGGGAAAGAGTAAAGGATTAGGCAAGGGAGGGATAACTATAAGAAGGAAATATCCTTGGTATGGTAATGATAAGCATTTTTAATTTATTATAGAGGTTTATGGGCAACGGTCATATCAGCTTTAGGGATGATGGCCTTTTGCTAATTTCTCAACTTTTAGTATGAAATAAAATCGATCTTTTACGATGCAAATAGTCTTATTCTTAACAGAAGGAACTGTTTACGTTGGATAGGTCGATATCTAGGTAAACATACAGTTGGCACATCGTGCAATAGCGTAGTCTTGTTTTCAATGTGCCTACTTAAATCTTGGGTTATAGGGATTGTCTTAAATGCATGTTTTACATACAAATGTATTAATTCTAATTGTATTTTTTAATATTGTTCAGTGCTCGCCCTCGACACGACTTACAATAACTATTGGAACTGGTGTTCGGGTATGACTTAACAATTATTAATTAATGTGGTTTTTTTTTGTTTTAATGATCTAACTTTTTTTTTAACTTTTTTGTAAGCATATTGTGTTAATTTACTAACATATTACTAAGCTAAAAGCTTTATAAAATGATTCGATTATTTGTTTTTAACAGTGTAAAGTACGATTTTAAATAAATTCATTTTTCATGTCATTAATCAGTTTAATTATTATTTTGTAATGAATTTGAATATTATTTTTTTGTATTAAATAGTGGTGGAGTGACCACACTAATGAGGTTAAAATCTGGATAATTTTAATACATATGTAATTAAGTTTATTCATAAAATTGAAGACTTGAATGAATAATGGTGATTTTGGCTTTTAGTTGATTTTTATATATCTGTCAAATTTGTCTATTATTTTAATTTCTTTAAGCAGTGTTTCCTAATTATTTTAAGGTTTATAATATATAAGAATCTGTATTTAACGTTAAAATATCCAATTATTAATAATAAGATATATTTTTAATCTTAAAGAAAGTTATATTAGGAATTGCTGCTTCAAAAACAATATGTAGTTCTTAAATGTGCAATGCGAATTTAATGTATTCATAGTTTTATCTTAAAATGATCATATTTTGAATTGTTGTGAACTATTACTTCCTCGGAAGAACTTAAAATAATTTTCTAATAAGCTTCTTGTTATCAAACTCATACTAGGAATAGATTTTGATATCTATTGCACTTGATGATGCACATTGTGATGTTTAAAATGTGACATACTAGCAACAGCTCAAGACTTTGTCTGCTTGAAAATATAAAAAGTAGCCTATGTCATAGATAAATTACCTTTCTAACAGTGAAAGAATTGTTTAAATCGACCTAGTAGCTTGTTTTTTTTTAATACATACAAAATATAATTCTTAAGGCCTGTTCCACTATTGTAAATTGTTTAATAAGTGATGAAATTATCGGATTTTGTTCCCTTATCTGACAGTGACGTCATTTTTAAGCTCCCTTAGCCTCTACCAGCCAGTGGTAGGACAGGCCTTTACTCTTTATAATAGTAGTATAGGTTTCAGCATATAACATATGGTGTATACCAACATAGACATACAATAATAAACTTTTTATTCATAGTATTACGTGTTATTTTAGCAGGCAGGCGCGTCCCCCGGTATGCGCGGGCGTCGGTCAACAACAGAGATGTCGTCGCCCCTACTACGTGTGCCTCTAGAACGAGGTTGGAGACGAGAACTGGTGTACCGAGCTGCACTGGACGCACATTCTAGAAGGAATGCTGATATTTACTATTATACCCCTCAAGGAAAGAAGTTACGATCTAGTAGAGAGGTGAGAATAAGTGTCTTAATGTATAATAATGCTTTTTAAAATTACACAAGTTATTGCTCGCGACTCCGTTCGGGTGAAATTAATAAAAATTGGAAGAATAGTTCATATTGTTCAGGTATAATATAGCTTATTAATGGAGCAAGAATATATTAAATCGGTTCAGTAGTTTGAGTTATTAAAATACATACAAAAATACTAATCTTTTGTCTTTATAATATTATAGATTATTTTGAATATATGATACAATTTTATTCATAGTTAGGATAACATCATTCTATTTAATACAATGGTTGCTTTAATTGCGTCTTTAGTTAATTTTAACTAAGGATTTTGATTTGTATTTAGAAATAATGTAGAATTAGTAGGATTTTTTTTTAATAAAGCTATTTGCTATGATATAAAAACATATTTTAGTATGTAAAATGTGTTACATATTGCCTGTTTTAGGTCGGAGAGAATTTGTCGGGAACAGGGTTAACATTAGAAAATTTCTCATTCTTCAAAGAGCCACTCGGTGTTGATGATCCAGAAAAGGAAATAATAAGGTGAATAAAGTATATTATTGTAAATAGTGAAAAGAATCAATTTTGTATTAAATATGCATTTTCTTAGATAAAATTTCTTGAATAAAATTCTTTTGAGTGATGATTTAAAGTGATTTTACAACTCGGGACAATAATCTGTTCAGTAACATTAGGAATTATATAAAATAAGATTGTATTTATGGAAATTACCTTTGTAAATGTGTTTTAATTGATATTTCCAGAGATGCGAAGTTAATGCGTCGTGTGG